ATATTTTAGGCCCGGACGGCCTCGTCATTGCAAACTTAGTGCTGTGGAAAAAAATGCTAAGTTGATACGTGCTGCTTTCCGTGGAAAACCCACATAGGCAGCGGGAGCGTTTAGTAATGTAGGCAGATAAATTCATATTCACCAACATATTGTCATTTTAAAATAATAGTCAACACTCTCTAAAACGCATGGTTAACTGAGGAGGAAGCAGTGAAAAAAAGTCCTAACATTAAAGCGGGGGCAGTGTTCAGCGGACCCCCTAATTTAAAAACAAAACGTAGGAGAAAAAAACTGCTTCCACAGAATTAAGGAGGTTGGTTGATAGGATAGTGCGATGAGACAGGACTGTTGATGAGAACGTATGAGGGTTGTAAACGCTTCTTGTCGTTGGAGAAATCATATGGCAGCAGAGACTACCGTTCACCAGCGTAACACCGCCCGACTATCTTCATGATCAACTATCAGAGAGGTGATCCAGGAGGAGTTCATCGCGGACAACAGAGTCGAAAGAATGAGGGAACGGTAGACGTCACGTGGTCATCACCGAAACGCCGAAGATGCGACCTTGTGGACTGCGGAGTTCAGCGACGAGCTGGCGAAAACATCAGAACCGCCACGAGCATGACTAGAGACCGTGAAGCCCATCGTCGGGGTTGTAAAACGGGGATCGGAGAAACGGCAATAATGATTGGACAAAGAACGGGAGGAGACACCGTTGCAAATATCACTATAAAGAGGAAGAAATAGACATATATGGAAAACAATTTAATATATGAGAACCACCCCAAATACCTGGGGGACATTTCAAAGTTCAAAAATTGTGTGTTTGGGCAGGAGACGGATAACAAGGACTTTATATCTTCCGAAGTTAAGTGTTTGCAATTTGACTTTAAAAACTGCTAAGTTAGACGACAGCCTAATTTCGAGGGGAATTTGTTTGGGAAGGAGACGGAGAACAAGGACTTTATATCTTCCAAAGTTAAGTGGTTACGTAATTTGGCTTTAAAAACTGCTAAGTTAGACGACAGCCTAATTTTGAGGGGAATATTATTTTTAAAAACTGCTAAGTTAGACGACAGCCTAATTTCGAGGGGAATATTATTCCAGGACGGATAACAAGGACTTTATATCTTCCGAAGTTAAGTGTTCACGTAATTTGGCTTTAAGGACTTTATATCTTCCGAAGTTAAGTGCTTACGTAATTTGACTTTAAAAATCAAGGACTTTATATCTTCCGAAGTTAAGTGTTTACGTTATTTGACTTTAAAAACTGTTGAGTAAGACGACGCCTAATTTCGAGGGGAATATTATTCCAGAGGAAGGCATATTTGGAGGCGAAAAAACGAGAATGGTTCGATGTGGAGCTAAAGGGCCAAGTCATAATAGCAGTAAGGGGGGTATGACAGCGTCTGGGGGTAACT